ATTCCATACAGAAGATATTAAAGCCCTTTTTTAAGGATGATTACTGCAGATTGTACTCTAATAGTGATGCTGTGTTCCATCAGGACTCTGCCCCATCGCATGCATCTAAGGTCACCCAGAAATTCCTAACAGATCAGCAAGTGAAATTCCTGAGACCAGAACAATGGATTCCAAACAGTCCTGATGCTTCACCATGCGACTATTTCCTATGGGGACATCTGAAAAACAAACTGAATAAGCGAAGAATTTCTACATTGAGAGGCCTTCAAAGAGCTATTAGAGAAGAGGTGAAGAAAATCCCCCAGGAAATCATTTTGCGGGCTCTAAAATCCTGGCCGAAGCGTTGTAGACAAATCTATTATGCCGGAGGTCGACATATTGAGAAGCATCACTGAATTTATATAATAAATTTTGGAAATATAAACATTCAAAAATGATCCCTATATTTTTTTGTTACCCTGTATATATATTTATTATATATATATATTCCTTTTTGCGGATATAATCATGTGAGCTGATGAAGATATATCTTTACATTATTTTGTTTTCTGGCTTTTTAATATTTTTTTTAAATATATATTTTTTAACGATATTTTATTTTTCTTCTTCTCTTTTCATTATTCTTTATTATTTTCCATGTTTTCTCCATATTTTTAAATTATATATATATATATATATATATTTATATTCAATTTAGGAGAAAAAGGTACCCATGCCAGTGTTCATATTGACAATGGCATTTTGACTGCTGCCATTAAAACTCCCGAGGATACTTATGTTGTTGAGCCTTCATGGAGACATTTATCATATGAAGACAATTCTAGTATGATTGTTTATAGAGGATCTGATGTAAAGTATAGTTGGGAAAATTTAGAAACAGACATTAAACAGTTAGTATTGTTTTTTATATCAATTTTTTGTTTAATTTTTAATTTTTATTGCTTGTTATTTTTTTAATATTAATTCTTCTTTTTTAGGAAAAAGTTTTGTACTTATGTTAAAGAAGAAGGTAACACTTCTGATAATTATGATATTGTAATTGAAAAATCTATAAGCAAAAGACAAGCTATTGATCCTTACAACTGGGAACCTGTTCAAACGCGATGTTCGCTTCTTCTGGTAGCAGATTTTCGCTTTTATGAAAATATGGGTGGAAGCAATTTGAAAGGCACTATTAATTTTCTCGTAAGTATATTTTTTGAGTTATATTTTTATATTTATTATTAATAAATATTTAAAAGTATACAATTTAATGATTAGTTGGATTTTTTTATTCTTAAAGCAATAATTATTTTTCATTTAATATAAATTTAGGAGTTACAATAAGTTAAAAAGAAATTAATGGGAAAGTTGAGAAACTTGAAAAATTTCAGTAATTATTAAATTTTTAAAAAACTTAGAATTGGTGTATTTAGCATTTCTGAAGTTTTTTTCTTTATATTGTCAAACTTTGATGATTTAATGACACTCATTAGACTGGTTTAATTCAACTGGTATTTTCAATTCAAAGAGGCAATGGAAAAGTTTTTATTTCTGGAGTTAATTGGATTAACTTTATCTACTCCCATTGATTCCCTATATACCAAAAGATATGCTAAATATATTGATTTTAAATTTGCCTGCTTTAACTTTTTTGGTAATCTTTCATAAATCATTGTTTTTTATTTCCACAATATCTTGTTGGTGAAGTAAATGTTTTTAAAATTATATGTTTGACTACTCAAAGAGTTTGCGTTTCAGCCACAGTGAAGCACTTAAACTTCACAGATATTTTTCTCTTTTTACTGATTTCAAATAATCCTTTCCTGATCTTCAATTAGATATCATTCAATGAGAATGAATAGGAATTATTTCATTCACCAGCAAAATAGTGCTATTAATAAATTATATTTATAATTCTTTGTACACTTTTATAAGACTGGAATTTTTTTATTTTGTATTAAAATGTTGAATGTTGTCCCATTTTTGGAAAGCAATGGCTGAAGATTGATAATGTTCTGAACTGTTATGAATAACTGTTACAAACTCACAATAGTTTTCAAAATTGCATATTATTTACTAAGGTGTACAGATTCTATATTAAATCTAGTGAGCCAGACTAGTTTAAGTTAGTGCAAACAATTTTTCTCAATAATTATAAATAATGGTAGCTGAGCGGTAGCGCTTTGCCACTGAGTTTTAATTATAAATAATCTTAATGTTATTTATGTTTTCTGTTCTTTAAAAAAATTATTTTATTCAAATTTTTTGCACACACTAAACTCTTACATTTTTAAATGTTATACTAAATCTAGTATGATGTCTTTAACAATGAAATCCATTGATTACACAGTTAAAGCAAACAAAATTTATAGTAATACTGTATAAATAATAATTTTTCTTTCGACTTTACAAGCTTAATAAGCCTGTCAAGTTTTTAAGTGTTGAAAAAATTTTTACAAAAAGTATTATTTAAGAAAATTTAACGTATTTGAATCTTGAAAACTTAACACATGAAGCAAGTAAAACATTTAAATTAAGAGAATATTTGCTAACTAACCATAGTGATCGGTTTGCAGTTAACCTTTTTTTTTGCGTAAGAAAAAATTCTCTAAAATATATTTACTAAGAAATTTTCTTTTGTAAAATTACAAAATTTATTCACCCTATCCTATTATTTGGCCTGAACATTCACAATAATCAAAGCCTACTTTCTTTACAATTAAAAGAGAAAACACTTTTTAAAAATCATTCCTATAATATGCTAGTTACCATTATCATATACCTGCAGTTAATGCGTGCAGAATTTGACAGTCAAAAGAAAATATTTTGAAAGATTTATAAACTCAAAAAAAATCTAATTTTCAGACTTTATTTAATGCTAGAAAATGTTTTCCCGTACAACTGAGTTTATAAGTTCAAAGGAATTCAATTTAGTTATTAAAAGGAGAAAAAAAAACATTTTATGCATTAGAGAATTATCTACTACCTACAGATCAAATTTAAATATCTCATGTCGAAAAAATAATTGTTTGAACAGATTTATTCCAGAATTTAAAATTCGGCACATTAAATTATGTAATTTAACTACTGTACATTTTTCCATGATTTTATAATTCTTAAGTTTTTTAATTGTTTTTAAAGTAAATATTTAAATTTATTTCAGCATACAATAAATGTGTTTCCTTACTCTTTTCTAGAAGTAAAAGCAATTATATTTGAATGTATGGACTAAACATTAAGTTCTGTTGAAAACATACATTCGTCTGAATAAATCATTCCAATTATAACTTATAAACTAATTCATCACCCCTGTGGCAGAATTTTTTCTGACTTTCTGCGACAAACCTAACTAGAACCAATATCTTTCTGCAAGATATTTTTATCGTTATAAATGTATGTGTAATGAATTTATAATAATAGATAAAATTCGTGTTTATAAAATAAGTCTACATGCATAGAATAAAACTGTGTAGATTTTTTTTTCTTAATTTCATAATATAAATAAACATTTCTTAATAAGTTTAAATTGTTTAAGTATAAATTTACATAATCTTCGATAATAACGAAAAGTTATAAATGTATAGATCTGCAGACAAAAATGCTTACTAGAGCATAAATAAAGATTACCCAGAACCTGTAGTAAGATAGAACTTATAGAAATAGCTAAGAATGGACAAAAAGATTAAATTTATAAAACAAGATAACTGAATTTGAAGTATCAGTTTAAAACAGTATCAAAATTAAATTATTAAAGCAGTTTAAAACAGTATGATTTAATGTTTCATTATAGTAGTTATATCAGGTACAGAAACAAATCAGGTGAAAAAATTAATATTGAAGTTGAGTAATCAAAATAATAAAATAGAATTGACTATAACCGAATTCTAAAAGCAAAAAAATTCAAGCAATGTTTGTTTCAATTTTTTCTACATCTAATTAATTTTATCTAATTAATTACAGATTAATTAGATTCGATTAATATTGTACTGACTTATTGAAAGATTTTTTTATTAAAAAAAGTAGGTAAATAAAACTTTTGTCGTGATCAGATTAAGTTCAGAACGAAAAAAATACACAGCGCTTGTGATCTCGCACTGTATTGTGTAAATATATAGCATTGATTCCACACGAAGTATGCAGAAGCGGTTTCCGACTCAATATGCTCAAGTCTATTCAACATCTCGAAACGAAATAGTCTTTATCATTACTGAAACATCGGTATTAGAGCCATGCTCATTGGATGCGATTTTTTTCATATGCGTATGGAAACCTGTTTGAAGGTGTTTCACCAGTAAATACTTTCCACCAATCTGGTTTTCATTCGCATGCAAAAAAATCATAGATTGTGAGATATCTTTCAGGCTTTATTTCATTTATCGTTAGATTGCGAGTGTTTTTTTTTTGTTTTGTTTTTTTCTTTATCGACGACTTAATTCAAAGGATATAGGCATTTTATCTTTAAAAAAATATATATATACATATAGTTATTTTTCACTTTTTACCTTTAACTGCTTCTAAAATTTCTTGATTTGTTGGAAATGCTGTCTCATCCTTACTATCGATATCGCTATTAGTAAGAATATTTGATTCGAATCTTGAACGTTTTTTTTTTCCTCTTTCAATATTAGTAGCGTGGGGAGCTTCTTTTCCTGTCGCTTTCCAGAAAAAAAATCTCTGACATCGCTAGATGTTGTCGGCTTCCATCTTATTTCTTCTTTGGAATGCCGCTTTGAAAAATCGGTTTTCAAATTTGTTTTAATTATTGTGGCTTCACAATTGCAACAAATAACCTTTTCGCTAGACATGATTTTTTTAAAAAAAAATCTTTTTACGCGTGAAATTTTCCACATAAGTGCAAAAAATATAAAATGCTCTGTTCTCATAAGAAAACACAAAGCAAATTACTGCGCCAGCGATAAAGGCCGAAGTTGGCAAATTTCCAAAAATAGCTTAATAAAGGGGAAAAACATTCTCCCCTTTTTATCCAGTAACTGTTTGTGTTGGAGATTAACGGAGAATTACGAGCGCTTTCTCCTTCCGCGGTACGCTAGGAAAAAAAAATATTTAAAACAATTCTGTAAGAAAAAAATTTTGCAAAACCATTATTTCGTCTGCAGAAATTTTTTGTTTCTGTAGAAAATGTTTTTTTTTGTTTATTTTTTTGGTAAAACAGCTTCTGTTTCTGCGGAATCTTTTTTGAGAACTTTTGTTTGTGACAAACCAAAAATTTTTATTTCCCAAATAAAAAAAATCTTTCTGCAAGAACTCAGTCGCTTTCTGCGACAATGTCGCTGTGTCGCCGTGTTTCTGCCACGGGGTTCATCACCACCAATTTAGATCAAAATGCCTACTTTTCTTTAAAGAAAATTAATAAACATGCAATGAAATAAAAAACAACTGATTGATTTTTAAAAATTTATTTTAAGTTGGAGAAAAAAGCTTTGAAGTTTTTTCTTCAACAAAGAAACAGTTTCTCCTGTGTTAATTAAGCAGAAATGGGGTGATGTGGTAAGATCTCCATATAATTTTGTTGACAAAATCATTTCTAGAAATAGTTTGTTTTCATCTTTGTTTACCGACAGATCCTCTGAATTTTATTATTGTTGACCCCATATTTCATCACTAGATTTATGCTAGCATTAATTTCATGTTTGTAACTGAAAAATTAAACAGAACTTCAATCACTCTGAATTTAAAAGCAAATATAGCAGTTATTTTAAAAATAAGAAGTAACTAATAGTAATGGGTTCCTCATTTGGGTGATAAAAAAAATATTAATTTTTGAATGCTATTAACGTTCTGAAGACTATTGGTATATTTATTTCAAAGTTAATTATTTTTCTAAAATTTAGTTTGTCTATTTCTTTCTAGATATCATTGATCGATCGTGTAAATAAGATATTTCTGGAAACAGAATGGAAGGATAGTGAGAAACAAGCTGGTTTTAGTGGCATGGGCTTTGTTATACAAGAAGTAATGGTGCATACTCAACCAACGCCTGTTACTCGTGGAGAAACACATTATAATATGGCTGGAGCATCATGGAATGTTCGTGATTTGCTAGAAGTATGCTGATGAGTTTTATTATCTGTCATTTGTTATTGTAACTAATTTTTAAAAACAAATCAGTTAATGAAATTTACAATAATTAACTCATTTTCTTCCCTTTTTTTCTATACTGAAATTTAAATTGTAACAATAAAATAAATGCTTTCATTCTTCTTCTTAAGCATTACTGATTGAATTGCTCTCAATACAGATTTTTAAAATGACTTTGATAAATTTTTAAGTTGTGGGATTATATATAACTATTATTCTTTTAGTTGAATTTTATCCATTATTATCATAGAACATCAATTTTATAATTTTTCCGATTGAAATTTGTTGGAGTTCAATACTCATTCCCCCTCTTTAACTAAATTAAGATATTCTTATTTTGCACTATTGTGCATGCCCAAGCCTGGTCATTCTTCTAAATGCATACTCTTCAATATTGATGTATTCATGTTCCAGCCCTCATCCTTGTGTCTTTTATTTATCTATATATTTTTTTGCTCTTTACTATGTTTTACAATAGAATATGTTCCTATGAACGTTTTTACAATTATTCAGGAGCCCTGCCAACTTAAGTTAATCTTTTACTGAATTTATTTGTTTCGATTGAGATATATCTTCTACAAAAGTTAGCTTATTAATTTATTAGAATTATCTCTTAAACCACTATTTGTTAAAACTATTTTCATTAAAAAAGAAGGAAATATAATGCACCTTTTAAAGGTTTTCATAAAGGCAATTTTTTTATTAAAAAATTTGTAAATGCTTTGAAATTTCATCTTACAATGAAAGTAAGAATCTATAAGATTATTATTGGAAAATAAACACTTAAATTAAAAAGTTTAGTAACTTAAATTAAAAGTAACTTAAAGTAATTAAGTGAATTTAAAATGTCAAAAACTGCTTGTTTTTCTTTTTAATTGAAATAAATAAAAAAGTAAATAAAAAATATTTATAAATTTTATTAAATAATTCAATTTTCAAAGGTTTTAAAGATTCATTAAATACTTTAATCAAAAGTGTAAAAAGTGGTGAAAATTACATTGTTAGGACCATTGGTATAAGAAATAAAAGATAACCTATTCCCACTAGAATATATTAAGAATATTAAAACCTATGTTTATGTTTGTAATGAAGCAGATTGAATATTTTAAAAAGTAAAATCGTAGGTAAAATAAGAAAATCTTTGCGTAGTTAAAAGATGGTTAAAAACATATTTGTTACCATTTTGTACACATTGGGTTATTATCTAACCCACACATGTGTGCAAGTTCAGTCTTATAAGGTTAAACGAAAATAAAGAAGAAAAAAAGAATTTTTAGCTTTTCAATACAAAATTAATTATTTAATTTTAGTAAAGCTTTTAACTTGAAAGCAATTAAATTTCCCAATAATTATTATTATTAAAAAAACTCTTATTTGGCAATAAAAAAAAACTAAAAATTAATTTTTTTCATACTTAAATAAATTTAATAAATACATTTTTAAGCTTTATACTTTTAATAAGACATTAAAACATTTTTCTGTTTAAAATGAAGAAAATTAGAAACAATCTCCACCCAGGTTCGAACCTGGGACCTACTAATTATAAGGCCTATATCTTAATCATTGTGCTATAGATCCACACTTAATAGGCAGCTTTTTAATATATTACTATGTAAGCTAAAACTTTTAGTGGTATGTCTTACATCTGAGGCTGCAGTTGCACTAACTCTTTAACCCTATCGTATCTTTTAACTAAGCTCTTTCATTTATATTTGGTTTTATTTCAATAAGAATTTCATTCAAAAGCTCATTTTTTCCTTGTAGGTCGTTTGATTTTACACATAATCTTCTTTTTTCTCCCACCTAGGTTTTCTCACGTAATTTAAATCATAGATCATTTTGCCTTGCTCATTTGTTCACTGACCAAAAATTTGATGGAGGAATTCTTGGTTTAGCATATGTGGGATCTCCTCGTCGGAACTCAGTTGGTGGAATATGTAGCCCAGGTTAGTATTTTAAACATGATTTTATCCATTTTGAAAAATTTTCAGTGTTCTCTTATACAAATATGTAAAGAGGCATCGCAATATTATTACAATAGATAATTATTTTACCTCATCAATATTTTTATGTATTATTAATAAAGCATCATTCATGTAATTTATAATAAAAATTTCTGTATTTCATTCAAATATATCTTTTCAATGTTGTTCTTTTAGGCTATGTCAAAAATGGATACACACTTTATTTAAATTCTGGCTTAAGTACATCAAGAAATCATTATGGTCAAAGAGTAATAACAAGAGAAGCAGATTTAGTCACTGCTCATGGTGAATACAATTACATTTATGTTTTCTGAAAATATCCTTAAAGTTTTGAAGTATTTTTTGAAGATCATATTTTTATTTTGTTTGAATCTTTATATTTTTAAGTTACTCTAATTATTTTTAGGTCTCATATTTTTCTTTTATTTCTTCCATGCTCTCTGTTATTCCAGAGTTTGGTGAGTATTTGTAATTTATTTATCATAATTAATTATATATTCCTGATTTTTAAGCTTGCATGTTATAACCACACCACCCTTTTTTTCAGGTCATAATTGGGGAAGTGAACATGATCCTGATTTAGCAGAATGTTCACCAGATGGACGTCATGGTGGCTCATTTTTGATGTATACTTATTCTGTTAGTGGTTATGATCCAAATAACAAGGTACAAACTATATAAAAAAGAAAAAAGAGTTACATCATTTACTTAAAGGCATTCATTCTTATAAATATTTTTTTAAATCATATAAATTTATTTACAGAAATTTTCGCCATGTAGTATTAGGTCTGTTCGTGCTGTCTTACTAGCAAAAGCAAGCAAATGTTTTTCAAGTAAGTAAAAATAACACTTAAAGACTTTTGCATAATTAAATACAAATTCATTTCTTAGGCAAATACTTTTTCTTTTAATTAGGGAATATTGTTTTAAGTGGTTTAAAATCAAATGCTATAAAATCTTAAGATTATGTTGGAGTTATAAAACATAATAATATCAAATGTAGATATGTATTGATTTAAATTGCATTGTGTATTTTCTCACCCCATGTTTGGCTATATTTTGAATGTACTAAAATTTTAATTTTAAAAGATAGTTCAGACTTTATAAATTTGCATAATAAAATAAATATATTAAGCAAATTTAGCTGACTTAGATATTAAATTTGACATCATTCGTTTTAAAATTATGGTATAAGAACTAGGTATAGTAATAACTAAAAAAATGTACTAATGTAAGATAAATATTAAGCATACATAAACTGTTATATATGGTGCAAATAATGTTATATGTTTGATAAATTGGCCAAAGTATATACTTTTTTTAATTAATCAAGCAGAAAGAGGACCTTAAGAATCTAAAGTTTATCTAGATAGCTTGAAGATTCCTACAGTTCATGTATTTATTAAATGGTAAAATAAATATTAAATATTTGATAAGTACTTTTACTGTTAAATTAGATAGAAAGTTTATATCAGAAACTTAAAGTTCATGTTGTTCGAAGCAAATGCTACAAAAATAGATATTCTGAAAGTTTTTATTACCTAAAATTAAGACATAATCATATGCTAAATGTAATATAAATTTGTAAACTTTTTTGCTACCGAAAGTACACTGTCTAAAAGATAAGCATAATTTATGTTACATGAATATTTAAAGAAATCTAAGTCAGAATGATAGGAAATGTATTATGCAAGTGTCATACAATTTTCATAATAAAACAAATATATAGTCTTGCTAAAATGCTTGCATGAACAAAATTATGCAAAAGCTTTTTTTTTGTGAAGGATTTAATCACTTTTATTGTCCAAAGAAGCAGTATAAAAGAAAATAGCAGAAACTAATATTTTATAATTAAAAACAAAAAACTAAAATAAAAAGATTTTGTTGCATTTTATTAAGATGTGCGGCCACCTTATAATGCTGTCAAACGATTTTCCATGTGTGCTTCAAGAGTGTGGATGAGTTAAATCTTTAAAGAGTTCCAAGCAATCCAACTGACTCTTTTCAATTCTGAAGTGAGAATTGATAATTGTGGAAGAACTGCAATTTCTTAACCAAGCATATTCCACTTATTCTCAATCAAATTAAGATCAAGACAGTGAGTAGGCCACAGCACAGCATGCACTGAATATTTTCTCTTTCACAATATGATCCATAAATATATTGTACATGAATACTGTCCAGTTATCATCCATGAATATGAATCTATAATCAACAGCACCTCAAAACAGGCTCACATAAGGCTCAAGGAATTTGTCTCTACCTTTTAGCAACCACAGACTCTAATCCAAAGAGATGTGGGTATGCTCAATGTTGGATGGCAAACACCCAACATTGTGCATACCCACATTATCATTCCTTTTGAAGTAAAATTATGTCTTTCTGTGACGTTTCTTGGGTGAGAGTATGTCCCACTTCTCTGTATCATTAGCCGACGAAAATCAGTGTCCGGAGTTTGTCACTGAGCATCATATTAGCCCTCCGATGCAAATTCTTCTGCTAATGTTTCAAACTACAGTCTAAATAAGAGTTTTTATGTTCAGACGTGAGAGGAAAGCAAAGGACTGGTTGTCTGGTATACAGACCAGCATTATCGAATCTTCTATAAACAGTTTAGCTTAAAACTTGTGCTCCTGTGAGAACTGTAAGTACTGAACTGAGTTTTCTGGCTCAACAATCCCTTTGGCGTCTTGTAGTTATTGAGAAATGTAGAACTTGAAGAGCAAGTTTTACTCTTTATTGACCTTGAACAGGATATCAAGTAACATGCCCCATACTTTGAAACCTCTGATACAGTCCTGAAACCACACATTAAGGCACATTCAAAATTTGAGACACATTGGTTTGAAATCGTCCACATTCCAGCATTCCAATGATTGTTTCTTTCAAAAACTTGTCTAGTTGGTGTTTTTGTGACCTCCTTCGGCTTTTATGATCATTTAACCCACCCCTCAGCACAACAAATGAACATAGCCCACTTGATCTCCACATGGCACATGAATCAATTCTGAAATATGCTTACAATTAGCATATGCACATTCTTTCATCTTTAAACAATGAGTCTTGTCAAGTGATTTCGGATAATTTTGTCAATATTTACTCAAGGTCAGCCAGATTTCACAAATCATGATTAACTTTTGGACACCAATATATTTTAAGTTTATACTTATATGAAGATTAGATTATTGGTACTACTAGATTATTGCACTTAATGTGATGATAATAATAAGGTTTAAGCTAATTATGTTTTGTAAAATTTTTTAGTGTCCGTCTGACTTAATTATGCTATTTCCAAATTAAAAGTTATCTTCTTTTGCACTTTAGGCAGTGGATTTTTACCCCTCAGTTTGGCCTGAAAGCTTGCTGCATATGTAGTTAAGAAGTTACAGTTTTACGTAAAAAATTTATGATTTAGTAGATTACATTTGCTTGCATATTTTTAATAACAAATTTATATCTAGACAACCACCATATTAAGTATATTTCAAATAATATATAAATTCTATCATCTGTTGAAGAGCTATTTATGAATAAAATTTAACAAACTTGCACAAATTGCTTATGACATCTGATTTGTTGTTACCTAGTTTGTTTTTTACAATTTGATTAATTTAAGAAGAATTACAAAAAAATAATTCTTTCATCCAAAAGACTAGTGCATGTTTTTTAGTCATCAAACTACATTTTGTAGACAGTTACATTTCTCTGACAAGTCTTTTAGTGTTATTGTTTGTTTATAGAACCCGAAGAATCCTTTTGTGGTAATTCTCTTGTTGAAGAAGGTGAAGAATGTGATGCTGGTTTTATTGGTAGTGAAGATAATGATCCATGTTGTGACAGTGCTTGCAAACTTAAACCCCGTGCTATTTGCAGGTAATTCTTGTTTCTTTTTTCATCTTATTTTTACAAGTTCCTTTTTTTTAAAGTCAAATATTTACAATTTACTAGTCATAAACCAAACTGAAAATCTAGGAAATATGTACATAATCTAAAGCATAAAGAAATACTAAATCATGATCAGGCATAACTTGGACTTAAATGTGTTAACTTTTATAAACTAAAAATACACCAATTTAAGGATTGAAATTTGTTGCATTGAATCGATTATAATATGCATTGTTATATTTTTCAGTGATAAAAATGCACCATGTTGTCGAGGCTGCCAATTAGTTCATAGAGGTATAATATGTCGGGAGTCTCAACCAAGTGCTTGCAAGAAAGAAGCATTTTGCTCATATCCTTTATGTTTAATCTTATAATTTTTTTTGTTTTATATATTACTAACTTTAAAAATCTAAATTCATATCATAAATTTAAAATTATTTTCAAAGATTCCTATCATTGTTTTTCCACAAAACATAAAGTTTTGCACTTAATAGAACATTTAACATCTACTGTAATCCTAGTCTATGTTAGGATTAAAAGAAACTGATATCTGATTGACATTTGCCACATCTACTATAATGTTAATTTATATTAAGATTAAAAGAAACTAATTAAGTTAGAAAATAATATAATAAAAAAATGAGAGAATTACATTGTAATTTTTTATATTCCTAAATAATATAAAGAATATTTTTCATATTCTTAAATTGACTATCTACATCATAGGCAAGATTTACTGCTTCGACTCTCAGAAAAAGATTGCTGCATTAAGATGGTTTTTGGTTTTGGTATTGCCCAAATACTAAAAGGCTGAAAACTACGGCTGTATGTACCTTTTTATCAGAATTTCAGAAAATATCTGGCTTTTTCAGTAATACTGGCTGCGAAAGCCCTGTTTTCAAATCGTCTGTCTTTCTAAGTGTGATGTCCTTCCTGTTCAGAAAGGAGTCAACCCTCAGGCAGGACTACAGACTGCTATTCTTGCCACCATCACTGAAAGATACCCTGTTAACAATTGGATACAGATCTATATTGTCGACTCAGCTGAGGGAATTTCTGGGAGAGTAGGAGTACTATTTGTTTTCTCTAAGTTTTTCCTACTCAAAGAGTTTTTAAGTTTAAATTCAGACAATTTTGATGGAGAAATGTATGCAATTAACCTTGCTTTCCAAAATATTTTGGAGAAGCCTATAAAGAAATCTATCCATCTCCTTGATTGTCACGCTGCATTTCATACAAGAAATTCATACAGTTATACAAAATATGTCCCTCTGCCTACTGTCATTAAAATTAATTATAAAAGTATCATTAACACTCTACTATCTACTGGAAAGGAAATAGTTCTGCAGTTGATTCTTGGCCATTGTGACTTGTAGAAAAATGAAAAAGCAGATAAACTTGCAAAACAAGCATCTCTCTTATCCTCCCAATTCTCCTGCTAACTTGAGAGATGTTTAACAGCCAATAAAACGAAATATTTAAAGTTACGCAGCAATTTTTTGCCAAGAATTCTTTGTTCTTCTTAGGGAAACCTCTTAGCACCATTTGCCCTCTAGGAACCTCGCTAGAGTTATTGAGGTTTTGCGTTTCAGGATTGGTGGTCTAAGCCAGATTTTCAGCAGAATAATGCATCAATTTACGTCAAAATTTTTTCACAATGTTAGTTTTTGGATAACAGAGTGCTTGTCATAAATGGCATGTCCTTTCCTTTATCTTCATTCCCCAAGAACATGTTGGAAGCTATCCTCAGTATCATATACTGATATTTGGTATGTAGGTCAGTTAGTATATACCAAAATAGGGCAGTTTTAGTCTGTGGCAGAGTTTAAGGCTACCATCACTGAAACTTGGCATAATATGGATGCACAATTCTCCGAGTATTAGTAAACGGTAAGCAACATCGCATATTTCAAACTCATTTAAATTTGGTGGTTTTTTTTTTACTATAATCAATAGTGGCTTTATTTTGATAGAACACTTTTTTCTTCTTTTCTTACTTAATTGATTTTTTTCCAAACCAGGTGGAGATAGGAGCGAGTTACTCTTTATAAATATGTGCTTGGATATCAACTTTCTTGATAAACATGTTCTTCAGAATTAAGGTGGTTTTATTTAAGTGTGACACACTGTATAGAAAACCAGCCCAAAATGCAGTATGAGAAGCTTTATAACTAAATTAATACCAGAAAATATGTATAATATTTTTCTACAAGTTTTAATTCAACATATGGTTTGCTTTTGATAATTATTTACTGGTTTGTTATTATTTCTGTTTTTAACTGATTTATGGATCATTGATCATGTAAAGCTGAGCGTAGATAACGATAGCGTAGGTTAAAATTCGTAGTAAAACTTCCAAGTTACTACTTTCAATTGAGTCGGAAAAAGCGTGGCAGCCAATAGTATTACCAATACAGCACGTTCTTTCAATTTAAATTTTAACAAAACAAACAACAAATCAAGGAAGACCTCAGAAGCACATTATAATTCTGTCCAAAAAATAACAAACTGTGATATTTTAAACAGATATAGCAAAATAAGAAATAACATGCTAAACGTGGCAAACCATACACTTTATTTACGTTGTGATATCATTTTTTTAAAATTTGTTTTAAGCTCATGTTCTGTAGGAATTTATAAATTACAGAAAACTCTTATGAACAGTAAAATTATGATTAAATTAAAACACAAATTACAATAAAAGATTTCCTAGAATATTAAGCCTGTTCAAACATTGCCTTGTAAGCATAACATAAGCGGAGGGATACGCAGGAAGTTTTCATAATTTTCTCTGGTTTTAGGAAGCTTGTTATCGTTTACATTTGGTCAACCATCCGTACTTAGTGTTGTATTTTTTTAACATCATCATTACCACCTTCAAGCAAAATTTTTAAGAAATTCAACCTTGTTTGCTGAGTTTTAATTCTCTTCAATGCATTACATTTTGTGTACTTTATTCAGTGAAAACTGATGATTTTATAATGCAGTTTATATTATTTCTGCCGTTATACTAAAAAATTAATCTAACAGTTATTAGAAAAAATAAGTAAAACTATCTAGGGCACTTAAACAGTCTTGAAACAATTCAGAAAATATCAAAATTTTCTTAGGAGAATTCAATATAATTCAAATTGAAGTTTTGTATACTCATTGTTGACAAAACGATGCAATTTTGAAGAAAATAAGTATGCAATTAAGTAAGTTTGCCAGACAACAACACAATCAATTATAAGGTAATAAATTTGTTTATAAGTAGGCAAATGATTTTAATAATTTTGATTCTCAGTAATTTTGTATGGAATTTTATTTTTAAATTGCATATTTATTTATAATTATTGCAGTTATATTGCTTTGTGTCCCCTTGTTATTAATTAATTTCCTTAACTAATGATACTGGTGAGTCACAGGATTGTCCTTCATCGTCACCTCAACCTGATGGGTCTCCATGTATTGACAGGTAGTTTAAAAAGCTTATTTTTATGTTCTACTTCAAAATAAATTTTTCTATTAAAAATAACTTGTAGATTTCTGTTGGAAAATTTGAATTGATTATCACATTCTATTTAAAGTTAAACCCAAATGTAGTTTTTGCATCTTATTTCAGTGTATTGTCTCAAATTCTAGTTTCTATTTCCATACTTATTCTTAGCTTAATTGTGCTCCATGCTCCTTCTTCAATCAAGGCATTTGTAACATTAGTATACCTTATTTAGTTCAGTTCTTAGCATACTTACTTCATAATTGAATTTGCTTTTATTTACATTATTAATTTAAAAAACTAAATTCTTAATGTGCCACAAAAGCAGAAAACTGAATGGGATAAAAAATATATACTTTTTCAGTTAATGCAGTAGAAAGTTGATGTTTTAATTTTTATGAAATGTAAAATTAAATAATAATATAATATTGCTTTAAATTTGCATTTTTTATTAAAATAATTGATTTGTTGCTATTTCATTATACTTATACTTAACCTATACATAAACCTTTCTCAAATTTAGTCATGAAAGAATCTTATAAATTTCATAAAAAATGTTTTAAAATTATTAAAATATTATTCCTTAGCTTAGTTAAAAGTTTTCTTCTTTCTATATTTATTTTATTTTTTACCCAAGAACTATGAATCAATCAAATGAACTAGGAAATAGAGATTCTATCACTAGGTTGCTGCATAGGAAGAAGCTTTTATTTTTATTTTGTGAAGAGCATTTCTGATAATGACATGATAATAACAAATGTAAATAACAGACTTGAAATAGAATAAATGAAGAGGAACATATCGTACTTCCACTGAACATAGAAAATTTGAAAATAGTTTCCCTTCCCTCCAAATGTATGTTAATTTAAATACATTGATTTTAATTTTTGTAGTTAATTAATAGGTTGTATTAAATTTTACACAAAAATGATTCAGGCTTATTCAGATCAATGTTTCCTAATGTTAAGTATAAATATAAAGGAAACATCAAAATTTACTTTAACACAAAATATACTAATAATTACTTATATAAATGTTAATTTGTACAAAATTGAGATAGTTTGTTGAATAATATACATACACAGTTTTTTGAAATGTATTTAATAATAATTCATAATAATAGAACTGAAAGGGGTCTTGTGAACAATATCATAGATAAACAAAAAGAATACCAAAGAGTGATATTTGATATTGATTTACACAGACAAATTTTAGCTTTCTCTCTTAGACATTTTAACTAGATACCTTAATTGACCATTTTTATTGCCCTCTATATGACAAAAAAGGAAATAAGTGGATAAGTGCATGTTTTGTGGTAACTAATAAAAACTATATTTAGTTAATTGAAATTTCTATTCTTCATTTGTTTCTAAGAACCCTACATTTTGAAAATCTTTTTATATACTCTAAAAAAAGGTAGCATTAATTTCAAATGTTTTAAAGTTAAGCATTCACCCAACAGCGAGTGGGGTCAGGGAGGTAAAAATTCCACAATTTCATGACCAATGTCATTATTGTGGCAATGTGGTCAACATTGTACAAGCTGGTTTCCATTGGTCTGAATTTGGGTAGACGTCTAGCCACCAATAGGGAAAAAAAACCATATTTTCAAAGAGACAGCTCGATGCTTTAACCACCAAGCCATTGCTGCGTTTAAATGTTTTTTTATGATGTGAATTAATAAATTTTTCTTTCAGAGGTAAATGTCGTGGTGGAGAATGTGTGCCATTCTGTGAAACACTTAATCTACATTCCTGTTTATGTGATAGAGGTTTGTATTTAATTAATATAATATATAATATAATTGTAATATATAATTATATTGTATAATATAAATATATAATATAATTGTAAAAAATTACTGAAAAATGATGAAAATTACTATTCAATCAAACCTTGATTATACAAACTTCAACAATTAAAAAATTTTTAACCAAGTATATGTTAGTAAAAAATTTTTGCTTCACTTTAAATTGCATTAATAAATGGTTTGTATTGATGTAGACCATTGTTAAGAAAACAATCAAGTTTCTTTAGAAACTTTTAAAATTAAACTAATGTATTTATGTTTCAAAATAAATGTTCAGGGTGTGTGAATTTTAGGTAATATTTCCTCCATTCTTTTTTTCAATTACTACTAAAATCATATTATTGCTGGATGTTTTAACTATTTCAACTAATGAATAATGATTCTAGTATAGGAGTATAAAAATGAGATCTTTTCTTATATTATGAACAATAATAATATTTGAGAGCTGAACACACAATTGTGTGATTGAACTTTAATACTATTTTAATTTTTATGTAATTTTATTTAGTATGATTATTCTAAGAAGCTTTCTTTTGAAACACTCTATATTACAACTATTTAATTAACCATTAATTTTATGCTATAGAAATACTGTAGAACTAAAATAAATAGTTGTAGCCCTGTTATTAATTTTATTTAAATATGTGCCTCTTGTTGATATTTTTAAAAATATTTGGCATTATTCCAAAGTTAAGGATAGGTATAACAAGGTAAGGGATTCTGGGCTAGTTTTCTTCAGTGTGAAGTATTTTTCACACTGAAGGAAACTATCACTGAAGTCAAAATTACTTTTTTGTAATAGATTTATAAAATGAAAGCTAGAGTTAGTTGGGACTTTTCTCATAAGTGAAACGTACTGAAATTAGTAAATTTATTTAATGTCAATATTGTAATTCATAGCAATCCCTTTTAGTTTTATGTCCTGTTTTAATTCTGTTCTTGCTAAAAGTTTCTGCTCTTTTCTTTTTTTAAAAAATATACTTGTATATCTTTCAGAGGAAGATGCTTGTAAAAGGTGCTGCCGGCCAACACAAAATTCAACCTGTAAACCCATTGAACCAACTGAAATACTTAGAGATGGCACTCCTTGTATTCATGGATATTGTGAAATGGTATATTTTGTTTAAATATTTATTTTATTGTCTTTTAATAATTGGAGACTTAAGGAATCCATTATCAATTAATAACTTCAGACTTGTCCAGTCTTAATTAATACTTATAGACTTTTACTATTTATATGTCTCTTAATACTATACCAAACATTTAAAGCTTGATTCCATGGGAAATTTCTGTTTAAAATGTTCTTGTTCTCCTCTGCAGAGGATCAAAATTGTGATGGCTTGTTTTTGGATCATCCTCAGGGATGTTTCCCAGACCATCGCCAATAGCCCATTGTGCAGCTCTAGTGCGACATAAATGAACTACAAGAACTGTTTAAAACTGCACAAATATTATATTATTATATGTATGTTTAAACTGTTGTTAATAAGTAAATTCTTTTTTAATTTTATATTTCAAATGGAGACTCAATGCACAAATTTAATGTAATAGGGTAGTAGGTTTTTCTTATATCTAAACTAGTTTTTCAAAAAAAGAAAAGATAAAAAAAAGAGTCTGTTTAAAAGGTCAGTAATCTTCCCATACTTGCTAAGAGATGTAAGTGAACAAATTAGCAAGCAACTTCAATAAAAACTATTTTTAAACTGAAACTATACATTTAGGATTTAAACCAACTAAATTGCAAATGTTAGATGTTTTTAAAACTATATTTTGAATGCAACTTTTAAAATTATTGATTATTGCCTCTTGTTTATATATATATATATAAAGAGAGAGAGAGAGAGATGATTCGACACTTTTATAGTTCTTAAGGAACAAGCTATATATCTTCAAAGCATTTTTACAAAAAATTGGTTAACTTGTAAAGTATACTTACATATTTGAAAAGTGGATTAAGGGTTTAACAATATTTAGTTTCTACTTAACAATATTTTTTCTAGTCTTGCTCTATTCTTGGTTCGTTAAATATTTATAACACCAAAACATTTTTAGCTTCAATCCTTTGAACTTAATCGTTAAAAGAATAAAAAATGGAAACTCTAGAGCTAAAAATAAAGTTATATGTTTAAAATAATGAAAAAAGGAAAGTTGTTTTTCATTTTCTGGCTTTTATTCTTAAGCTCCATTTCATTTACTGTTATTTTCAATTATTTAAAAAGTTTTAAAAGGCTAGCATTTACAATTTTCAGTAAATAAGTTAATAATTTTAAGTAACATTTCTGTATTGTCGAATTAAGAGATTAGCATTAGATTCTATGTAAATTAACTTAGAATACATTATATTATTTCTGTTTTTTATTCTAGCTTTTTGAATTTATAAATTAAATTTTTAATTAAATAGTATATTAATCAAACATTTTACTGAGAGAAAACAGATTTTCTTCTTGATTACAACAAGTACAATTAAACTGAAGTATAACAATAACTCAAAAACACATTTAGACAAATTTTCATATCATTAAATCATACACAAATTATAATATTCATGTTTGCCACCTACAATTTTGAAATGAAAAAAGTATCATTTTAAAAAGATCTCCATATCGTTTTGGAAATAAATTGCTCTTTTTCTATATTTTATTCTTGAAATTTCAACAAAATGTATAGCAATTTGTTTTTGACTTGGTGTATTTTATTAAGTTGGATAGGATTCATTAATACTATAGCTGTAGAGAAGTTTAAGGTAAGTAGTAAACCTAAAATCTGATATGTGGTATTGAAAAGTTGGAATAACTTGTTCAGCTCTTTAATAAAGTTTTGACTATTTGAATTCATACTTAGTTCATTACTCTGAAACAAAACAGTAATAAATGTTCTAAACTATAAAAAATATTTTTCAACAAACAGTAAACATTTTAGGTCTGTTTCTTTGTGTGAACTCTTTATCCTGTCAAATTTTATGAAGAAAAAAATGGAAAAAACGATGTTACAAAGAAGTGATTGAGCAAAAAATTTTCTTTATATGTAATGCAATATCTATTAAAGAAATGTAGTGTAAAATTAATTTTTTTAAATATTTTGTTACTACAATTGAGTAAATTAAAAAGCTGCTTTTATGGCTATATTACTCCACCTGACCCTATCTTCTACTTTATTTATTTAGAATTTTTTGTTGTTAATATTTTTTGGGGATTCTTTTTAATTTAGGGAGAATGCAAGAAAACTGTTCAAGATATCGTTGAAAGATTTTGGGACATTATTGAAGATATTAATATTAATACTGTCAGTAAGTATTAGTTTACGTAAATGTTTTAGCTTGCTAATTATGTAGAGAATGCACCACTGTGGCATTAATCTTTCTCTTGAGTCTGAAATTCAATAAAGAAAAATATAAATGTTATTTTGAATTTGAAAGAAAATTTAATTATGTAGATCTAATTGATACATTTTATTCCAAAATGTCTGACACGTTGAGTTAATATCAAAAGTAGATTGTATTTTTATTATTACTTTCACTGAAAATAAGTATAGTATCCAAAAAAAATTTTTAATTTTTGGATCTAATGATTGGATTTTCATGTACCAAGATGCAATTAATAGTCAAAATTCAAACCTTAACCTTAATTGTGATAATTAGTATAGATGAAATTTTTAGTTACAAAATCCAACATAAAAATTTACTTCCTCTAAAAAGTATGTACGTACTCTATAAAAAATTGTACTGTAAGGTATAAAAATTTTAATATTCTTTTAAATTCTGTAATTTTAAATGACAAAATCTAAAATGTAAACAAAAAATTTTGAAAAATTAAATATTTTACTTTTTTGAAGTTCTATTACTATAAACTATTAAGCAGATGTTGCTCAAATTTGAATTTTTAGATTTAAAATTACATTGTTTGAAACGAATTATAAAAATTTGTTTATCTTACGATTCACAATTTTTTTTTAATGAAATACTAATAAAAAGAACAGGGGAAATTATTTTTTCATAATTACTTTAACCTAAATTAGTTTTATAATTTTATTATAAAATATTTTTAAACGTAATTAATTATATTTTTATTATTGAATGTTAAAATATTTTGATTTACATAAAGAATTCCAGAAATATGGCAAAATTTCCAAACAAGTAAAATTATCATCACAGGGCTTAAATATTTGATTACTCTTCTAACTGAAATATCATCTTTTCTTCATATTTTGGTTTTCAAAAAAAAGCTATCTTTATTAAGAGAGTCGCAAGGGCACAGAAGATTAAGCGCTTGCCTCTAAATGAGGCGATGCAGGTTCAAATCCCAGGAATGTCCGAGTGATTTTAATTCCTCCAACTCATGTCGATCATGGGTTTGACTTAAAATATACCCAGTGAGCATGAGCTGTAATCTCTTTGCTGTTAGAGTAACTGTGCTAGGTTTTTGAGGTTTTACTGTCCATCTAACCTAAGTTCCATCAAAAAATCTCCTAGGAAAGCTTGTTCATAGTTATAATAATTTGGAGTTGAACATTGAGAGTCATAAATCCAAAAAGGGATTGGCTGTTCAACATCAGCTATATTGAATAATAAAAAAAATCTAATTAACAAGAAAAAGTTGAGTTTTATGACTGATTTAGTAACTTAAAATATAGTCTGCACCAATTAACTAGCATACTAACTATCCCTTAAACCATTAAGACATATATTGGTACAGGAAAATCTAATCATTACATCATAAGATATTCAGAATATTTTTTCATGGTACATTACTAAAAATATTTCTGCGTAATTGCTGAATCAAAATATTCAATTCTGTAAATTTTTAATTTTATGTCAAGGATTAAGATAAATGTCTGTTTCAAAGCCTTCATTTCCTTAGCTAAAAAATTTCATAAATGTTATTTACTTGTCCCTATACGATCAATTTTATGTATTTTTATTATTCTTGTATATATTTTGCTTTAATTAAAAATGGTATTAAAAAACATTAAAGTTTAATACTCAAATCGCTATGTTACTTTGGCAAATTTGGTGTTAATTTTCCCAGTCAAGCACAGTTTGTCCTTTAATAAACATGGGGGAAAAATTATTTTCTCTGCAAGAAACCAACCAGATTATGCTGCAAACTAGTTGATTATGTTAATATTAAAACTGGACACAATTGAAGCCAATAAAGATATAAATTATGCAATTATTATTGAGTCTTTGTGCAATAGTTAAAACAGGCATTGAAATTGCTTATTATAACCATTTTATTAATGTTACTTTTGTATTCATTGCTTAAGATTTATTTCTTTTCTGTAGTGAAATTTTTGAATGACAACATTGTGGGAACAGTCGTTATTGTTTCTCTAGTGGTTTGGATTCCTGCTAGTTGCTTGATCAGCTACGTTGTAAGTTATATTTTCTTAATTCTCCAAGTTTTTAGACAATTTCGAACTCTTTTTTTTTTCTTAACAACTCATATCACATAAATAGTAAAATAGATAGAAGAACTTTCAACACTTTGTTCTTTTTATTATTTTGTTTTTAAATTTTAAATAATCGAGTTTGGTGTCATTGAAAAATTGTAAATGTTATTATGCTAGGTTATTATTAAGTTAAGGCAAGGTTTGCCAATCAGTTTTTACCTTCTTGCAATTTTTATGAAATCAAAGCCCTACAAAGCTTAAAATTGTGATATTTAATGAATTACTTGATACGCCTCAATATAAAGAGCAATTATTTACCAAGCCTTTAACCAAATCCAAGTCTTCACTATGATTCTCATTAAGGATTAATTTCAATTAACCCCTCTTCTACAGTTCTTAGTTATTCAGTTTAAATATATTTAAAAATTTAATTAAATGGTCTTGGCCCTTATGTTCCACTTCTTTATTAAAAATGAAAAGTGTGTTTTGGGCACCCACACCAGTTTAAATGAAATCATGGATTGTCTCAAGGTTTCAACCAAAAATCATAGATAATTATTTTTCTTTCTTTTTATGTTTCAAAAAAATCAGTACAGGGAAATATTTTTAAAGTTACATTTAATTAAATTTAAAACTATTAAGCCAATAATTTTTAACAAAAAATTTGCACTTATAACCATATTTAAATTTTAAGACCTAAAATAATTAATAATAATCATGCTTGCTTTAAATTAAATAATGTATGAACCTGAAAGAAAAAGCAATGAGTTTTAATGCCTTATGCCTTATTTTCTATTATTTTTTTTCTGCTATCTCTTCTAACAAAAAAAAATATTCGTTAATTATAGCATTAAATTTAAAAGTTTAACTTTTGTACACAATTCATTAATTAAAGTGGATGTAACATGAGCCGTTACAAACATTATTTGTAATTGTTTAACATAAAAAAAAAATGCACAGTATTTAAAATGAAACAAATTTACCTTGTTTACTAGATTTTCTGAGGATACAAATGCAGCTTATTGACTGACCATGTAGGGAGATTCCTAAAAGAGTCTCTTATAAATGTTGTTAATAATTCTTTTCTACAACATCAATTTCAAATTTTGTTCAATTTGAATTTTTATTAAAAAAAACAATACACATTAAAAGAAGATAGTAAAAATCATAAGTTGTTGAACAATTTTTATATCAAAAATGTTTTTTCAAAAAAAATTATGTTTATCTTACTATGTTGTCAGTGATTTCATTTAATTGCTTACATTTATGTTACTGGAAAAAAAATGGTACATCTCTTAAAAATCTCATTATTGAATTTGTGATCCTATTATAGTGAAACTCCCACATCACAAACTTCAAGGGAAACACATAAAACATTTATGATATCAAGAAACATAATACAGTAGGGAACCGATTATCCGGAACGGTCAGGACCATCGCTATTCCGGATAACTGATTTTTCCGGTTTTCTGAATCACTACAAAAAGCCGTTTTTTTATTGTTAAACCCAACTAAAAAAAAATTTGGAAATAATCTTAAAAATAAGAAAAAACAATGAAGTAATACACTTATGATTATTTCCAAAATGATGGTAAGGTAAACATCTTTAAAAAAGGAAAGAAAAATTGTAAAATCTTATGAGGAAAAAAAGTTTTTTTTTTTAAATGGCGAGAAAATTTATCGAATTTCGTTCTGGTTTTATAGTTTTCTGATTTCCGAATAACGGGTTCTGTACTGTATTTGTAACATTTTAGTCAAAGTAATTACTGCATAAGCATTTTTAAATGTTATATAGCATATCTTTACTTGCGGAACAGAAAAGGAGTAAAATAAAATTATTAATTTATTATGAATGATTTACTTACATTTGAAGCAGTAATTAAAATAAGTTTGCTGCATGATTTTTTATTTTGCTCTTATTTTCCTTTTCAATTAAGTTCTCCAGACTCTAAATGTATCATATTTTATGCCAGATCTAAATTCAGTAAATATCCATGCTGTAAACATTCCTGACATACCTTCTTTATTTTAAATAACATCTTGTTGAAATCAAAAGCGTTTATTTTTCATATTTGATCCTCTTTTAATGTATCCTTGGATGCTGTTACCTCATTTATTATTTTTGCATCCTTTCTGTCACCCATATACTGCAACCTTATTACAAGTAGTAACAAACTCTTCCTTCCTTCTTCATTTATCAACTTTCTTTATTCTCGTTTTTTTAACTTCTTGCAATTAGAAAGTTTTAATCAATTATCTTGCAAACAAATTCTTTCTTTATATTTATTAAATTTTTGCTTTCTTTAATCAGCTCTTAATAATTACAGCAGTTACTTCATTTCATGTCTTATCTTAAAGCCATTTGACTTCTAAAATGTTAGCATTTAATTTTATTCCCACGTAAATAAGATTTTTTTATCATTTGATAATGAAATTTTGCTTTAAAATTTTGAATGATTTTCTGATCCCAAATCTAATCTGATCTCAAATGAGATATTGAAAATATTGCATTTAAAAATAAAAAAAATTTCTATTATTGGAATTGCAAAAGATTTAAATCAAAGTTTAACTGTCCATGTTACTTCAAATTCATATTTTTTTTATTGTTTATTCTTTTCTACAGGAACATTAATGAATCCTAAGTTTAATTTTTCAAACAACAAAATTAGTTTTTGTTTAAATGTAGTTGTTGATAAAATATGTCAATTTTTAAATAGCTTAAAGTGCTACTTCTATAGTATTATTATATTAAAACCGTTTTTTTTTCTAGGATCGTAAAAAGAGAGAAGAATATGAAAGAGTAATTAGTGGAAAAACAAAAAGAGAGGTAATGTTTCAGCTGGCATGCTCATAATACTTTTTCAATTTAGAACAATGCATCTTTTTCAGTTTTTGTTTATTTATTTTTGTTGTCTTTTCAAAATATCTAATAATATTAATCATTATATTTCAGATTTCCAAACCTTTCAGCCTTCCAAAAGATAAAGGCACTCGTGTTATACATATCAAACGACAAAATCGTTTTCGACCAGATACTACAGCCACTCGTAACACTCCAACTTCTAAAGAATGTTATCGCTATTATGGTGACCATAATGATCGCCTCTTCCCAAGAGCCACATACAGACCAGAGCCTTCCCCTCAACATCACTATGCCCATTCAGATTCAGAATATTATGCTCCCCGTCACAGGCACTTCCCGCCACTTAGAAGCACTCATGGGGCAGAAGACTTGCATACTTATAGACCTAAACCCCCAAGTGTTGTCACAGAAGCTTTTACGGCTTTGTGACACATGAGACAGTGTGTAGATAGGGCTGCTGCAAGAATCGCTCAAGTTCAAGCCAAAAACTAAAAGCTGTTTTAAATATCAGCAGTTTATAAGGCAGGTTGTAGGTTGAGCAGAATAAGATACAAAAGTTGCAGCAGTATCCGTCTACACACACTCTCTAGTCTGTGATATTTATTGTTTGGTTGCTCTGCTGATTATTCATTGTTTTGAACTTCAGATATTGTTATCTGAAGTAAATTTAGACTATAAAAAGAGCTTTTTACTTAATTTTTCACCATGAGTCAATGCAAAGCCAAATATAAATATCTATTACTTTTCACTATAGATGTGATTTTGCTTAAATACCTACTAAGTTTGATGGCAGGTTTGTACAAGTCATTTTATCTTAGAATATTTTTAAATTCATGACGTCTGTAGAATATTTTTAAATTCATGACGTCTGGTTTGATATCATTTTGTTTGTTCTTATCCATGAATTTATTTTATTGGTGCTTTTGAAGTATATTCTTTTTTTAAATATAAATACCAAATATTTAACTCATAAAACTATTGCTGTGCATCTGTTAAATATGAAAGTAATTTTTTTGCTTTTCTGCTATCATAGTTTTAAGTATACTTTTAATTACAAGTCATTTTATCTTAGAATATTTTTAAATTCATGACGTCTGGTTGGATATCACTTTGTTCCTATCCATGAATTTATTTTATTGGTGCTTATAAAGTGTATTCTTTTTTTAAATATAAATACCAAATATATAACCCACAGAACTATCACTGTATATTTGTTAAATAACAAGTCATTTTTTTGCTTTTCTGCTATCATACCTGTAGTTTTAAGTATACTTTTTATCACAAGTAACATTGACAATTTACAAGGGGTATTATAAACTGAAGCTTAAGTTTTTATGCTTGCTCTCTAATCATCATTTTAAAATGCAGTTTTATTATCAGACAGTAGTAGAGGAATATAGTATCAGATCCATTACCTGAATTCTATAAATTGGAATGCCAGATAATTAGTTTGATAATTTTTTAAATTTTGATAAATCTAGTTTGAAAATTAGTTACTATAAAGTTATCATGTACAATAGACCTCAAATTTATATCAGGCTTTTAGTAAAGAATCATACCTAATTTATTTTAATTGGGTTGGGCTGTTTCCAAAGACTTTTAATATACTTAAAGAAATATTTATAAATAATTCATATAAATTTTATTAATTGTTCAACAGTTAATATAAGACATTAAAATACTCAAAATGTTTAAGGGGTAGAAAAAAATTATTTCTGATTAATTGCTCTATGTGAGGAATCACTGCCATTATTTTTATATATGTAAACAAACTCCTGTAATAGGAAAATGGTACATGTTATTGAATGTTCAAAAGCATAAAAATTTAGTTCTTATATATATGTATATTAGTTTTTTTTGGTTGAATGTGATTTTAAATTAGTATTTCACACCTTTAATTTCTTTAAATATTACTATCACTTCCTTTTAGCAGTGCAATTGAAAGAAAAATTATAGATCAAATATTTACAATGGGGATTACTTAAGATTATCAGCAAAGCCACTTAAATCTGTTTCAGACTTACAGATGGAAAAAAAAATGATAAATTAATTTACCGATGTTTTGTCTTGAAGACTGTAAATGCAACATGCAATTTGATAATTGATCTTGAACTGTATTCCTTTTCATCTCTTAGTCAATTCAAAAGTACAAATTCTGCAATATTTTCATTAGTCTGATAATATACTGTGAATAATAGACTAAAGTCGCTGCGCATGTGTAAAATATTTTAAATTATAACTTTTTTTTGCTGACATGTTAAGTTGAACTAACACTATATTTCATTTATGTGAAACATTTTTCATTTATATTGTGTCCTTTTTTTCTAATTGCTCAAAAGTTATCAAATTTGCAGCTATTAGATCAAATTATTGTTGTGTTTTTTTTTATTCTTGTGTTAAATTTTATTTTTGACTTCTTGTCATTTTCAATTCTATTAAAATTTTAAAACAATTTATTGAACCAAATTTTTCTAGACGCATGTAATTTTATTGCTCATTATGTGTTTTCATCTAAAAATCACTATAAGTTGTGATTTGATAATACTTTGAACGAGGACCTGCTTTAACCCCTTAACTGCCGAGTAAAATTAACGTGATTCACTCCCCAGTGCCACCGTTTTACGCTCAAGTGCACTTTCTTACACGGTGTTTTGAGTGGGAAAAATGATGCACGCTTTGCAATTTAAAAACAGTTTAATTTTAGAAGAAAAAGGAAGGAAAGAAAATACAAATTTTAAATTAAATAATAAAAATACAATATAAAAGATGTTAAAACTTAGCTGTTGTATGATAAATCCTGAAACATGGTTGGATACATAAATCAACATCACATTCATCGCACTGATAGCGGGATTCACGAAGAATTTTTTTTCATGAAGAAACAGCACATTTTCGCGATGCATTTCTCTTTGAAGACGTTGATGGAAGGAATAAAAAGCACCAAATACATACGGGAAACAAAAGCGAAAAAAGAATAAACCGTACCTTACTGAAATAAATACACGCAAGCGATTAATATGATATCACTTTTCCATAACATCCTTTTCCCATTCCCCCTCCTCCGAAATTTGTAATACATTCGCAAAGCAAACACTTTCAAGGCCATTTTACTGCATTCGGAAGTAGGGGGTGTAGTTCTATTTATAGCAGCGCAATGCAAAGCATCGTACTTCGAGAAAGCGTATATATACACCTGCGGCAGTTAACGCATCGTCTGGCTGAGACGTATATATACGCCCGCGGCAGTTAAGGGGTTAATTTGATTTAGCATTAATATGAAATTTTTGACATGAAAATTTCCATACCTTTGTCAGTTCTTATAATACAGTAAGCCTAATTAATATAAAATTAATAAGATTTTAGTTTTATTCAGAGTAACTTACTATTTTTCATTAGTTGAATTAAAAATTATTAAAATATGCCATGGAACTTTATTACTATGTCAAACATTTTACATCTATACTTTTATCTAGAAAAAAAAAGTAATACACAGTTTAGTAGAAAATAAATGTTTTATAATTAAATAGCTATTTAGTTTAATATCATTTGAAGCACTTAGTATATAAGTATTTAAAATTATAAAAATGTTACTTTATATTATGATTCTTGGTTTTTTTATTATCTCAACAAATTTGAGCTCTTGCTGGTCTAGAATATCTAATTTAAAACTATCTGTGAATTTCTTTTAAAAATTTAGGATATTTTTTGCTTTAAAATTTCACATGAATAATATTAAATTTCTTTTAAATTAATATTGTTCAAAACAAAGTCTGAACATGCAAAAATATTCTGTATAAACTAAGGTAAGTGTTGAATCGGTAAAATAAAGTCAAAGTTCTCTAAAATTTGTAATTTATTTGTGCCAATATAAAGTTATTTTGTAAATATGCGCTGACAATTTTTTTATGAGATAAATTAAAATTTCTTGTAATTTTGTTATGTTTCTTAAAAATTAAGAATACCTTGTTTATTCTAGAGAATACTATTAAGTTTTTGTTTTTTGAATTGTATTTATATAGAGTTTAAATTTATCCTCAGCATGTAACTGATGGCAATTCAATTATATATAATAACTTAGTGCATAGCACCAATAAAGTTATATAAGAAATAGGATATTCCATATACTCTGTTCAAATTTTTCAAAATTGGAATACAACTGCTAGTATTTCTTGGTACTTGCTAAAGTTTTGATGTATATCATGATACATTTAAGGAAACAAAACAATCATGAGAGGCCTATTTTATGAAAAAAAACTTAAGTTCTGAAGACAAAGGCTCCAACATCATTAATTTTTTTAATTATTTCTGTGCTAGTCAATAGCAGTTAATCCAAAGCTACAGCACACAAAACAATGTTCATAAAAATAGCTGCAAAGATTTATTGAAATAATTCTCATAGTTAGCAGTTTTATTTCAGCTGATGGAAATTTAATTTTAAATGTTATCAAAGTATGGCTGTTATTAAATAGTATTTTTTGTTGGCCTTTTTGATCTACTGAAATTTTATTAAAATAACTTTCGTGCTATGAGTTTGTATTTATGAACAAAATTCATTATTTATTAAAATTTTAATAGTTAAAATATTTTATTTTTGTTTATAGCAAGCTATCTATTGCATCTATTGTTCTTCTACACTTAAGTTTCCATGAAACTTTTACATTTGTGCCATAAATTTTTGAACCACACTGTATATCCCCTTAAATTAGATCTTACTATAACTATTGCTGGCAGATAGAGGAGAAAACTTCTTAAACGTTTGCAAAATCCACTAATTTTGATAGGATAGGATTATCCTTTCAATTTTTAAAATTAGATTTAGATACCTAATTAGTAAAATATTAATGATAATCTAACGATTTGTGGATTTTACAGAAGCATGAAATACCAGGAACAGTTTTTCCCTTCATCTTTATAGAAAGGTTTTTTTTTATTATGGTCTATTTGGTTAAATGCTTGCAATTGCATTATGTCACTCACTCATATTTCAGATATTTTATTTTATTTTTAGAAATATTGTATACATTTTTAACATACTAGTAACTGAAATTTTGAATTTCCTAAAATTATTAAAATAATGAGGAAAAAAACAGTTAATTTGGAAACAATACATTTTAATGTATTAGTATGATTTTAAAAAGCAAGATTCATACAATAATATTTATTGTATCCTCACAATTAACTTAGACCTCAAAGGTAAAATTTATATATATTAATGTATATATTATTGCTGTAATGTTTCAAACATTTTATAAATATGCTCAATCCATAAAAAAAAATCGAAGTCTGGTTGTGTGCTTAAATCATTAGTACTGTAAATAATTATTTTAAATCGTATAAATGTTACCATATTTTTTCTATTTTGATGTGACTAAAAATTGAGATATTTGTATTGTAAATATAGCTTTAATTTAAGAAAAGGTTTTCTTCCTTTATTATGTAAAATTGACTCATGTTAAAAACTGTTATACTGTGGTGTAAAATTAAGTTTTATTCTTATAAATTAATTTAAATGTTATCTGAAGCTTTATCATGTAATGAGAAAATTATGCACTTATTCATGTTCATTCAATACACATTTTTAATAGATATATGTTCGTAAATTGTGAGCATTTGGTGTACTTTTGAAATTTAAAATGTATTGATTGTCCCATGATTTGATGACTATATGCTGTTTGATGTAATTAGAATATCTATGTTTCATGCGTGTATTCAAAAATTTTAATGGTTGCTGAGTTGCATTTCAAAAATTAAAGAAAAGCAATATTTGTGTTTAAATTAGTTTAAAGTTTACTATGCTGTGTGTTATAAATACCTATATATTTTCTGTGAATAATTGTTGATTACTTGTTGTAAATTTGAGATCAAATTCATCTTTTTATTAAACAAAAATATTTGTATGATTTACTCAAATATTGTGTAAGAGTAAGATCAAATATTAATAAAAAACACAAAGTTTGTTTAAACATGTTTTTATAGTTTTGACAATGAAAGTAATTTCTCTATTCAAAATCAAAATTTTAGATTTTTTTTTTTTTACTTTATGTTTCAGATATAGTTTGAAATTTAAAAATGGGTGTGATAGTTGTAACGCTTTTTTAATAGGAAAATTATTTGAAGAGTCTTAATGAATTGTTCAGGGTATATTTTTCCTTTTTTATATATATATTTTAACTTTTCTTCTAATATTTTTTCTGTAAAAAAATTTTTTTAGACTAATGTTTTTTATGGGTTTTTTTTAATGTCAAAATCATTTTTATTCAAAGTAAATGCTTTTTTAGTGTTATTTTTAGCTTTTATGTTTCAATTTTTAACTATACTGTTTAGTTATACATAAATGTTTATTTTCAAAGTGCTAATTATGTGAACAAACTTAACACTGGTTAATGCTGGTGAAAACTATTTTAGGCAGTATTATTTTTTGCTTTTGATTATATATTGCATTCAAACAACTTATGTTAATTTTTTTGTTTTGTTAAATGTCTTAGAAATCTTTGGTAAGCTTTTAAAATTTTAAATACAAGTTGATAACTTTAGTAAATGAGTATACATATAAGGTTGGTGAAAGAATTTTTTCCCTTATGGAAGCATAACTAAACTGCACCAAAACATGTAAATTATGTTCAATTATAGATCTAATTTCATTCTAAAAATGTGAAAGGTATTAGAAAAACATTTTGATGATCAGATGAAAACTATTTGGTAAAAGTCAAAACACAAAAATCTGAGTAGTTACTTTCACCTAGTAACAGGGGATATAAGAACAAACTGCTTCACCAACTCAATACATGAAATACTTATATATTTTTCATTAATGTACACTACTTTTCAAAATTACTTCATTGTTCCTTTTTTAAATTAATTTTCATTACTTAAATATATTTGACTTACTTACAAAAAAAATTTTTTTGAAAGAGAGTTAAAAATGTTTTTTAATCACTTAAATATTTAACTTTTTCTGTTATGATATTTAAGTGCACATTTATTATTATAATGTACTGATTACTAAAGTTTTTAGAATTATTTTATTTTAATGCTCAAATTTAGTTCTTTACTTAGCTTAACTTAAGGTTTTTTTTAACTTAAAAAATTAATAATGTTTTCACAAAACGTTGCTGGGTGTTTAAATTATAACAAGGCTGCTATAGGAAATGCTATCTACATTTAAAAATATTTACTTGTTTAAAATAGAATACATATATTTTATTTTACATTTTTTAATATATGTGTTATTTATATTAACAAATGTATTTTAATTATCATTAGAAATTTTTTGTATCAGCTATTAAGAAATTACTTTGATTGAAACAAACAATTTAAAAGATTTGCTTTATAGCTTGCTTTATTTAATAAAAATTTATGAAGTTTTCAGATTGTTTTATTCCATTTTGAAGTTTTCATTTTTCTTTGATATTTTTAATTAAAAAAAACAGTGGAGACTATTTCACATTTTAAAAATAATGTCTATTCAAAATTATTTTTTTCAATGTGAAATATTCTCCAATCAGATGTTTAACCTATGGATAATTTTCAGGACATTCGATGCTAATATGAAAATAAATGTTTTCTACTGTAAGTTCTGTTGCTATTAGAGAAATATTTGGTAATAAGCACAATAGTTGCTCTTTCTCTTCACGCATATTTTTCTATTAAAACTTAACATTATAAATAATTCAATGACAAAATTATGGAAAAAATACGAAGAAATTTTATTTTCTGTACAAGTGTATGGTATGAAAGTTTGAAATTTTAATGTCTATACGAAATTATTTTTTAAATGCGAAGTAGTCTCCAGTTGGATCTTCTACCCATGGATAATTTTGAGGACATTCGATGCAAGTATGAAGGCGAATAGTTTCTCCTGGAAGCTCTCTTGTTGTTAGAGGACAGGCATTAGGAAGTGAGCACAATGGTTGACCTTTAACTTCACACTTTTCTTTCCATGGAGCAAAATCTCTAATAGCAGACAAGTCTTTTGGGGACTGCATCCATTGCAGTACCTGTGTCATTGTAACAAAGTAAATATCATTTTTATCAAGCATTTCATCAACCCACTGAATCAAAGCATCGTTGAATTCTTGATTAAGTTTTAACCACCCAGCGTGGAAGAAAAGTCCAAGAGGAGCTCTGTTGGTACGATAATGCCTTTCCAAATTGTGATTTAAAAAGTTGTAAAATTGTTCTCCTGTAAGAAGATTGCTGCAACTGTCTACCATAGCACAACCTGCAAGTTCTTCGTCGAAGTTTGGATCATCTCGTCTGTCCAATTCGTTCATGACCATTTCCCATACAGCGTGGGATCGAGTTGGACAATTTTGGCCATTGCCGTGGCATTTGTGGGGCATACGGAAGTAAAGGGTGTATGGCCAAAGAGGAGGATTACTAAGTGGAGCTGTAATTGTGGAATCGTAAAGGAAAGCTTGTTCTTCCATCATGAAAAATTGGTTGTTACCTCCTACTCTTAAGTAGGGTGCACGAATGCCTACAACTGAGTTATCTGTAATATTAGAGAATCTTTCAATAATAAGCCTAACTCCAGCCATTTCTTTAGCCCAGCCTTCTACAGTTGCCTCACTCCAGTATTTTTCTTCGTTTCTGTGTCTATAATAGAAAAATAGAACCATGAAGCATTCAAATATATGAACTTACTGAAATGCTAATATGGCTTATACAAATAAATTTGTTTTTCTGAATGAGTTTATTGCATAATAAATAAAAATGTATGCCTATTATAACAATATTGCACTTAATTTGTACTACATATTTTGCATTTAATTTGATGTAATCAATTAAAAATTGCATTACCTCCTCCGGACTAGATCAGCGAGCGGTTCACTAGATTTTTCGAAGAAGCTCGACCCTAAATGATCGAGCTTCTTTTGGCGGAACCTCGACACTTAATGAATAAATTTCATTAAACAATTGTAAATATATTAACGAAGGACTATTAATTATTTTGAAAATATGTAATGATCTAAATTTTATTAATTATGTTGAAAATTTTTTGTGAAGGAATGAAGAATGAAATTTTTTCATTATATCGTTTTAGCAATATTAGTCTTAAAATTGGTTTTATGTCATTCAGTTAAATTCGCAGGTATGGAGAGGCATCTAGTCCAATTCGAATTTGATTTTAATGCATGCATAAACTGAAAATAAATGTGCTGAAATATGGTTTACATTAATATAAAAAGGAAAAAAATAAACGTTGAGAATGGTTATCAGTAAAATAGACTTCTTTGTTGAATTTGGGTATTTTTATTCGATATAGAATACTAATGGAATTTTTCATAAATGGATATCTTTTTCGTAATTCATTTATTACGTTGTTATTAGAAAAACATTCTTTTAAAATTTCTTTCTTCACAAGCTTTTCAATTAAATAATTTCATAAAAATCGCAATAATATTAAATAAATAACAGAAAACATTACTAGTTTAAACAACAACAAAAAATAAAACACAAAAATTCTTTTCTCTAAATGAATATATATTTTTGATCCCGGTTGGGAGTGAGGATCAACTGCAAACTGAAAAATTTGACCCCTGTAGTTATAACAGGGTTAAGAATTTAAATTCTTTAGGAAAATTTTTTGTTTTTATTCAAAGAAAGTATGTTTTATTTCGAAACTAATAAACAAATTTAAGATGAGATTCACGAATTTTCAAAATTGCATCTGAATTCTCCCTCAGGCATTTGTCCTTTTTTATTCTAGGTAAACGCGGGTTTTATGACGCATAGCCACCCTAGCGACACTATTTATTGTTTCGTTTTGCGTCAGACATAGTTTCTAACATTTTTTGATTTTATTGCCGAGGGTATATATTTTTTTACCTTGAGATTGGCGATACGTAGCCTCATCTGTCTCGTGGGTCATTAAACTTAACATTCAATGAAATGCATCTAAATACATGAAAAATTAAACATGTTCACGCTTTTTTGTAGTTTCTTTATTATTAATAATAATATCATCTATACCATAAACTTAGTTTTAGAACACCTATATACTATCGAGGGGGTCAACCTAGCTTGGAAAATAAAACACTTGTAAGTGAATTAGAAAAGAACTCCTTAAGTTTGAGAAAATGCTGTTATCGGAAATTTTTGCACCTAATTATAAAGCTCGTTAATCCAATGCTTTTTTTTCAATTTAAATTACATAAATTAGTACTATACATCATTACTATATGATATTAAATCTATTGATTTTTCATTAAGGTCAAATTTAGAAAACATTAATTTTAAACTATTGTATATTATGTAAAATGTAAGCATTTGTTTGAAAAATAATTTTTTCTTAAAAATTAAAATTTTTTTTCCTAGACGTATGATAAAAATCATATTTCTAAAAAAAATTTCTATTTTTTTTTCCTTCTTAGAAAAAATTGAACATTTTCTTTAGAAAACAAAAAGAAAGAAAATTTCTATTAAAAGAATCTTTCCTTTTTTTTCCCCTTGCACATCATTCGTGTTGAGAAGTAGTGATAGAAGCAGTTTATTTACGTCGTACTAGAGCTGCACAATGGCGATGGTCTGAGAAACATCCCTGAGGATCATCTGAAGATGTGCCATCACAATTTTGATCCTCTGCAAGGGGATGGCTCCTCCCTTTGGTATTCCGACAACCTACGCGCGAAGTCAAGCTACGGTCCCTTCGCAGGCTGGTCATAGTGGTTACCCACCCGCTCACTGATCAACCGCTGCCAGTGATGCTTGATTCGGTGATTTACAGGGAGGATACGTAACCCCCGAGAAGATTAATTTAAGGTTACGGATGATGGCACTTACGATGGGATATCAAAAATATATTTGTGACAAAATGAAAAAAAAAATCCCTTTCAGTTTTCGCTATGTTTTGGTTAACTCTGTTCGTTAAAAGCGATGGGGAAAAAGTAATATGCTCATTTACTATTTTTTCATATTATTTCAAAATCAGGTGTTTAGAAATAAAGAAAAGTGTAATAATTTAAAAATGCTTGCAATATTTTTCCTGTTTAGTGAGCCGTAAGCTGAAACTTCGCAAACGATATTTTACAATGAATTTAATATATAGCAAGTCTTTTAATAAATTCTTTATTTTTCTTTTCAACAGTTTAATTCAAATTTTTATATTTTCATCAACTATAAATATTCTTGAAAACTTTTACCGCAGTCTCATATGCTTTTCTGGATATTTTATTTATTCTTTTGTATGTAATTATTTTTATTTCACTTGGCAGACGATAAATCAAATTCGTTTTGCTTAGTTATTGTAACAGTGGAACGCTGTAAGAATAAACGGATAAACGAGATTGCTCCTTGGGCTTTGAAATTCATTTGAATTATAATATTTTTAGGTACGTATTGCATTTTCAGTTTAATATTTTTAGGTCTTTAAAATTATTATGCGATACGAATCATTATATCTTATTGCTTTTCCAATTTGAAGTTATGTTTAAAAAAAAAATGCGTAACGAATTCTTTATAAATGAATTTTGTTAAGATTGGCTTGAGCTCTGAAATGCATTTGAAATATTTTCAGGTGTGCACTCTGCGTTTTCAATTTAATGTTTTTAAAGAATTTTCATTATAATGTGATGCGAAACAAATCTTTGAGATCTTTATATTTCATTTTAGGTTCAATTTACAGTTATCTTCAAAAAGTTACACAATGAATTCTCTTTGGGGAAAAAAGTGTTAGAACCTCCGTGTTAACATATTCCGAAGAGTTTTTTTTTTTTAAATGCTAAATTAGTTCACTTACTGTATTTGACAGTTATTAAGGAGAATTGATTTACATATTTGTGTATATCTTATGAGTTAAGAACGAATATTTTTAATAAATTAAAAAATTGACATATTATTTAGTTAAATATCATTGTTAATAAGCAATGAAACACACTGTTTGTTAAATCCGTTATACTCAACTTCAAATTTAAAAAAACATGATTTCTTTTTAAACATTTATGACATCTCAAAAGAGCCTTGACGTTGCTTTGAAGTTTATTTGATCAAAATTATCAAATTCCATATTGATTGAAAAATGCCTATTGTTTGAGTACCACGTGATAGCTATACAAAATCTTGTGGTTAAAGTTAAAAAAGTAACTAAATTTATTTTATAAAAGAATGTAGAATTTTCGAGAATGTGAACTTAAAATGTTACGTTCTAAAGTGTTGGGTCTATTTTTGATCATAAAAAAAGCACTGCTCCATTTAGCTTTAATACAAATTCTGCGTGAAACTTTTTTTTTAAAAAAAGTAATCGGAAGTAAGATTTGCGTAGAAGTTATACGGTTTTATATAAGAACCCGTATAACGAGCTCTAAATTCTCGATTATAAAGTATCTTAAATTAATAAAATAATATACAGTCACGTATTCAAAGCGTGGAATATTTCTTTTTAAAAAAATAATAATAATAAAAGCTGAAATTTTTAAACTTTTGAAGAACTGATTGTTATATATTGAAGGAGCTGAATACTGAAGAACTGATGATAATATATTGAAGGAGCTTGTTCTTTGTGAAGAGATAGGATTGATTATATGCACAAATACGCAGGTCATCAAAAACAGTACTTCTTCGGGGGACACAGTGCCCTGCTAACATTCTGGAGCCTTTCTGTAGTCAGCAGGGTAGTGTGTTCCCTGATGAAGTATTGTTTTTGATGACATGGTTATTCTTGAAATTTCGTTTGGTTTTTATTTAAGTTCTACCATATTTATTTAAATTTTATAAAATTTCTCAAATCATTATCCAATGCTAGAAACTATTTGTATTTTAAAAAATTAATATGATAGGTGAGTGACATTGCGAAGACATTCATTGATAATAAATTTGATTTTAGTGTATACTTACGAAATGGAATGTGCAGCAATTTCGTGTCCTTTTCTGTGGAGTTCTTGGACTGCAGAATAATTGGTATATTTGTGGGAAACAAAGAAGGTGCCCTTAATAGTGCATCCATTAGGGTTATTCCTGCCTTCTCTGAAAATTCTTTCGTAAATATCTATGTTGTTGTTATTGACGGCATCATCAAATGTGATTGTTATCATCTGTGGCACTGAATTAGGTTCCAATTTTCCTGGGATTTGTGTACCATCAGGAGAGCAGAAACAATCAGGCAATATACATTGGTTCTGATCACAATGTGGAGCTCTGTTAGGATCCTTGTCAACAGCTAAAATAAATTAAAGTTCTAAATAATTGTATTTCACATTGACGTATTTATATAATTGTTTCACATTATATAATTGTTAATTGTTTCACATATAATTGTTTCACATATAATTGTTTCACATATAATTGTTTCACATTATATTGCATAATGTGAAACAATGTGTTATTATATAATTGTTCACATAAAATTGTTTCACATTTATATAATTTTGTTTCACATTATATAATTGTTTCGCATTTCACATTGACGTATTTATATAATTGTTTTTCGCATTGACGTATTTATATAATTGTTTTTCACATTGACGTATTTTCCGGTAAGATGTAAGAAAAATTTAATGGTGATATAACATATCAAACGCCGCTGAAATTCCGCCGCAAATATGAAATTTTCAAGTTGTTAATTTTACCTTCTGAAAATTAAGTTAATCTGCAATTAATTTCATGTCATCATACACAACTGGGAGCTCTGCCCTATTATGAATTGTTTCATCTTATGTTACTGAACAGGCCATAACAAGGAAGCGCCCTTAGCCGCATGCGATGATATTTCCGGGCATGGGTTCCTATGCAGTTTTAATCGTGATGATGTGCACAAATTATTCTAAAAATTTGTCGCACCATTTATGCGATATCCTGTTATTTATAACGCTTTTAAACTAGTTCATTTCGACAAAAAAAAGAGAAAAAGAAACTAAAAACATCATTTAAAAAAGAAAATCTGTTGCTTTAGGAAAAAAACCAATTTTAGATTTGAAATCCCCGCACCTGAATTAGGTAAGATCAAGTATTTGTATAAATGCAAGTAAAAATTTATTCCACAGTGGTATTAATTTAATTAAAAAAATAAGTAACGAAAGCGCACAATATCCCTAAAGAAACATTTTCTTTTTCAACATACGTATTTCCATAACGGACTATTTTTTTCAACAATAATATTAACTTTATGACTTCAGATGGTTTGAAAATTTGATCTCCGTTTTCTTCTTTTTTCTCTTTTTTGGCTGCATCTTCAAAACTTATTGCCATACATAAAACGCACGAAACATTCTTACTCAAAGATTTTTTCATGCAAATAATAATTTTTTTGATAGTAATTATTTATAGTTTCTATTCATTAATTTAATGATTGATAATATAAGGAGTAAACTTTTACATATCTACACGAATTCTTTATGCAAAAATTTAAATTTAGAAAGAAACGTTTGAATTGATAATGAGAATTATAAAGTATTGTTTTTAGTGAAAAACCGTATTTTTAAATTATTTCATTCGATTAATTTCTTTCAAATGTTACGTTTTTGTATACATTTTTTAAATAAACTGACTTAATGTGAAATGTTTTCGATCACTTAAAAAACTGTTGATCATTTTAAAATGAAATAATAAATAACGTCTTAGTTTAGCACAATAAGTGTAGATGGTACATGGGTAAATAAAAAAAATTAAGATAATTGAACTTTCGGCATTTTTCCTTCTTGAACAATTTTTTCAAATAGCCAATGTAGTGAATTTTAATAATACTCTTTTTCGTTTAAATTTGTTTTATCATTTTCCCCCTTCACCTATAATGTTATAATTCAAGAAAATCATAAATACGCATACTCTTGTTTAGTTACCCGTAAAATTGTTTGTTCTAACTGAGTTTGTTTTGAGTTAAAATAGAGGCTTAAAACGGGATAATAATAAGTTTAATTTAATTGATTAATTTTTTTAATATCTTAAGTAACAGTTTAGTAAAGAGTAAAAATTTTTAGGAAACTATGTTGATGGTGCTTTGCTTTTTTATTTATTTATGTAATAACTTTTTGCAGATTTTTTTCTGCGCTGCAGTATGTTGCACATTTAAACTTTTATATTTTTAACACATTAAGGGGTGAATGTGGTTTTAAATTTCCCGAGAAAGTATCAATGTATTTGTCTTTTGAAACATTCTATAACTCATCAAAAACTTAACTTGGGATTTCGAAATTTCATAAGAGTTTAACACAGGCACACTGTTTTAATGCCAACAATTATGTGAAATATCACAAAATTATATTCTAATTTTCGTTTTCTTTAGATAATATAATTAATGGATAAATTTATTTAAAAAATTAATGGATAACATTTTTAATAGATAATATAATTAATAGATAATATAATTAATAGATAAAAATATAGAACGTTTACTAATATTCAAGTACTATAACGCATTTAAGAAACATGCTATACTCAAATCAATTACCAAATTTTACTAAATAGATTTATTAGAAAAAGATAAATTTGGCTAGCATGTGAAATGAAAAAAAAAAACAGATTAAAAAAAAAATAAAAACTGTGACTAAATCACTTTAAACAATTTCAGTATTTTCAGTATTTTTGCTTGAAATTTTGTTTGAAAGCTTTTAAGTATTATCTAATACTTGGTGTTGAATTACTCAGAATAAAACGGGCTATAACATATATAATTTCTTCAAAAAATGAAATTTTTGTTAGAAAAAACTATCTAGACTCTTAACATTGAAAAGAATTAAAAGAGGATACATACTGCAGGCATTTTCATCACTACCATCGCTACAATCAGGATTTCCATTACAGAAGAGTTCTTTTTGGATGCAGTCCCCATTGCCACAAGCTAGTTTACCCTTCTCGCAAATAGGTTCATCTGTAGCAAGTAGTGGAGTTGCCAACCTAGGCTCTAAAATATCAAAAGAAAAGCAATTAAAATCTTGTATTCACTTTCATATTATTTAAAGAAAATATAAACTCCTTTTTTGCGCATAAAGTTAGTTTACACCTCATCATAATGTTAGAAACATAGATGCTTTAATTCATACTTCAAGGATAATTCTCAGAGAGAAAGACAAATAAGGGAAAAATATTAAAAAAGAAAAATAAACGTAGAAAAGTCCTATAACTTGAGTAGAAGTAGTAGTGCTTTATTTACGTCACACTAATTCTCAGAGAGAAAGACAAATAAGGGAAAAATATTAAAAAAGAAAAATAAGCGTAGAAAAGTCCTATAACTTGAGTAGAAGTAGTAGTGCTTTATTTACGTCACACTTGAGCTACAAAATGGGCTATCGGCTACCGTCTGGAAAAGATCTCTGAGGAGAATCCAAACATAATGTTGATTATCTGCAGAGGGGGTGACTCCTCCGCTTTCGTACGCCTACAACCTGTGCGTGAAGTTGAGCACTTTATGGTAGAAGAGTTTAATAAGGACTGATACCGTGCACACTCTTTCCCTTCGCACGCTGATCAAAGTAGTCACCTACCCACTCACTGACCACTGATGCTTGATTTCGGTGATCTGCTGGGAACCTTGTCTTATGACCAGTCCATTGTGGGACTTCTAAAACTAGAAATATATGTGAAAAATCTCACACGACGGGCCTCAAGAACAACGCGTTTGGTGCGCGCTTTCGATATGATTGAATAAAAAAAATCAAAATACTAAAAATTCCTAATGGAAAACATTAAAATATAAAGTGATGTTCTATCTCTCCAAATAGTTAATGATAATTTTGCATGTTTTGCTATTTTTCTTAATTTTATTTAATTATTTCTAATGCTTATGAAGGGGAGACATTATTTACTAGTGAAAAGTGATTCCCCGTATAAAATAAACTAATTTTTTAATAAATGCATGAGCTTGGAATTTAACTAAAAGCAAATGTGATTAAAATTTTAACCGTGTAAGCCTCTGTAAAAAGTATTATTTTGCTTCACAGAATGGAAGGTAAACAACTATTATTTTAAAATAAACGTTAAAATTAGTTTTCAGAAATATAAGGAAAGGTTTTATTAAAGGTGTGTGTGTAAAAAAAGATTTTGAAAAATCTACTGTACTACCCAATCTTTATTATACCCTTTTAAAATCACTTTTTTTTAAAATTTTTTTAATCCATGAATAAATTACTAATGTAGTTCAAATAGTTATTATTCCACGTATTATTCAAAGAAATAAAAAAAAAAATAAAGAAAAAAAATCGGTTCTTTTTGTAACAGAAAACCTTACAAGCCATCTAAATCTAAATATTATCGTATATTCTCTAAAAAGCTGCTGTTTTTCTTCGGGTTTTGTTTGAAAAAACTTTTTCTCCTAGTAATGGATAAATTTTAAACTACTCACTTTTTTACTTAAAACTCGCATAAACTTATTTTTATATATTTTAGTAATTGCTCAAATTTCAAGCAAATTTTTTCTTCATATTGTTGTGATTTCAGAATTAAAAAATTACGTTTCATATTGTCTAATTTTAAACGCAATTCATTCAGAAATGGATGACATTGAGTAAAAAGAACCCTGAAAAATCACGAGAAAAAACCCTGATAAAGCAATTAAAAATTCCATTAAATCTTTCATCGTAAGGAAAAAAAGGAAACTTTTTGCGATAAAACTGTTACTTTTTATCGAAATTTCTCTGAAAAACTTACCTTGAAACCTTTCATTGCGTGACAAACATTCATTACTAGTTTCAAAGAGATAAGAAGAGTAATTTTGAGAAAATTCGCACGGGGACGTTATTTCGAACGTGTAAAGAAACTTTTTAGTTTGATCTCGTTCCCAAGTAACCGCAATTATTTGAAGAAAAAATTAAAAGCATTTTGTGCAGTTTTGAAGAAAATAACATACAATCGAAAGGAAATATTTAAACAAAAACTTAGCATCCTTTAGAAAGTAGAATAAATATTTTTTGCTTTCTAGATTTTATTTCGAGCTTTTAAATTCATTTTTCCAATTTCTGTATACTATCTGGAAAATTTGATTTAAACTGTTCATCAAACGTGTTTCCTCTTAACTTTTTTGTTTCATTAAAAGTAGTTTATTTGATAAACGAAATTTTCGGAATTATTTTGAACACGTAATTTCTCTAATTTGTTCAAACCAATAAATGAGTTTATTTTTTATTACATCATGGTACTTTTAGTTTTCTAACTCTATGCTATCCAGTTAATCTTATTTATCCCAGATGGCAGTGCAAGATTTATTTTAATGTCAATAAGAACTTTTACCACCAAGTTCAACAATGCTTATAAATATAATTGGCAAATAAACCATGCAAGCGTGAAACAATGTTAAATTTAACTATGTTAGTTTACGCACTACAAGGTTCACATTAAGCTTGCATAAACAATCCTTTTATATCTATATTGAAACTCCCTTTGCAAAACAAAGTAATTAAAACCTTCTAAATTCGAGAATAAATCATCATTTGCAAATCAGGAGTAGAAAACATTTTCAAATGAAGGATAAATTCAAGTTCTAAAGGCATACATATTTTGGATTTTATGCCGTCACTGTAACATAGTTTATTTGCTCTGGCTTTTATGAACTTTCTTTAACACTTTAAAAGTGAAAGTTTGTCTGATCATTAAGTTTTCAACATAAACAAAATGGCGTTTGTGCAAAGCTAGAATGAAAAAAAAAATAAAAGCAAGATTTACAGTTAAAGCTAAAAAATTAGGCTTTTTTTGTAAAGTTTTTTACACGTCTTTAATTAATTTTTAAGGAAACAAGCATGACACACTAATGCTTCTGCTAAGTTTTAAAAAGGACTAATTAGTCAACCATTCTATACTAACCAAATGAAAATCAGAACGTTTGCCCTAAGGCTGCCTTCTATCTAAGATCCGTACTTTTTTCCATACATCTTTTAATTCCAAAAAGTAGAAATATTGGTTTCCTCACAATGTATTCATTTTTAAAGGCAGAAATTTGAGAATTTCTTTTAAAAAAATAGTACCTTTTAATTTATTTGCGCACATGGTACCAAATTTTATATTTATTGTATTAATAGACAAATCTTTATTTTATTTACAATGCATTAATGAATTTCAGAAAAAAGTATCCAATGTAGTGACAGAATATGCTATGCCGTTGCAGAAATGCGTTGGTGTGTGTATGTACGAATACTTCGGGCTCAAAAAATTTAATAATTTATAATTTTGAGATTTGTTTTCTGAAGTTTGCATGCGATGACTCACCATATTAATAGTTATTCCATATTATAACTACAATTAACATTAATACGACTTAATTGCATTAAAATTTTTTGTTTAGTTCCCGATTTAGATCAAACAAGAGCAGCTCGAAATTCCTTTCTTATAAATGTTAGAAGTACTCATTTCTATTAAAGAGGTATTTATATAATAATGGGAACAAAGAAATTTATGCGGTTATGAAATATTTTCGATAATTACTTTCTAGCTGTTGGCAATTCTTCACATTGGCCTTCCAGTTGCACGTTTGACTTTCGATGTCAAATGCAAGTCCAGATGGACATCGCAGAGCCAAAAGACCCTGGACAGAGCAACGAACTACATCCCTGCAATCTTCATCAGCTGTCAGACGAAAATATTCACTAGGGGATCTGTTTTTGCAAAGTTCAGCGTCGTTTTGAGTGTCTGCTGCCACTTGTCTCTTTACCACTGAGGCACAGAAACCTATTGATTAAAAAGAAATAAGTATTAGTATGGCACAAATTAAAAAATGCAAAATGATTTGCCAACAATCAATCGTGTACTTCAATCGTCAATTCCTAATCAATCAATCGTCATATTCCCAATCTTATTGGAGTTTGTAAAAATTATTTTGCCACATACTCTCAAAATTACAAGAGTTGCGCGTCGTTTAACATAATGTTACATATTAATTTATAGCTGTTAACTTCTTAAACTTGTAAAAAATAAGGGATTTAGTATTAAGTTTGGTAAATTTCTTTCAGCTAACGAAGTAAGATACTATTAATATTTTAGTTGATTTTTATTAACAATATTGAATCGACATTTGACATATTTACAATCTATATAAGAAATCGAGAAAACGTTCGATGAGAATCGAACAACGTAATAATCTAGATTGTGTTAATTTAACTTTTAAACAGAAGGTCAGTGTTTTAAATCATATAAATTAAAACCAGGAGATTTAAATCATGATTTTAATCAATTGAATATTTTTTATTGAAAAACATTATATTGAAAACGTAAACCAATCAAATAAAAACTAGACAGAGATCCTTTTTCAAGGTTTTAAGGAAAAGGGAACAAAAAAAAATTTTTTTTTTCAACAGTAATTAAATAGTTTACAATATTTTAAGAAACCTTCGATAAAATTTTCTTATATATGTATAAACAAACAAGAAAACTTTATTTATTTATTACGAAAGGCGAAAATATACCGATGATAGGTATAATTTGGCTCATTTTACTCATTTTCAGCTTATGTATATACTAATCCAAAAATAAATTCATATCATTAGATGTAGCTCAAATATTACAAATTTAACTGCCGGGAATATCATGTAATGCAATTATAAAACAATAATATTCCTCCTCTAATTAAATTTTCTAAAAATGGTCTTTTATAGGTTATAACGTTCACAATTACCTTGATAAACTTTTTTAAGTCGGGGTTCCGCCGGAAGAAGGTTGATTATTTAGGGTTCTGTAGCCGAAAAAAATCAGGAACCACTGTATTAGAAGACGTGTAATTTTGCACGCCAGGAGAAAAAAACTTGAATTGGGAACAAAATAAGTCAGGGTTCTGCTGGAAGAAGGTTGATTATTTAGGGTTCTGTAGCCGAAAAAAATCAGGAACCACTGAATTAGAACACGTGTAATTTTGCAAGCCAGGAGAAAAAAACTTGAATTGAGAACAAAATAAGTCGGGGTTCTGCTGGAAGAAGGTTGATTATTTAGGGTTCTGTAGCCGAAAAAAATCAGGAACCACTGTATTAGAAGACGTATAATTATGCACGCCAGGAGAAAAAAACTTGAATTGAGGAAAAAAAAAGAAAAAGGACAAAACTTTGACCAAAATACTTGAGTTAGCATATGATTCCAGTTTTAAAAAAATGGATGCGTTATTTTTTATTTTAAGTGAATGGATTCTAGTATTTTTGCGATAACTTCAAAAGTTTAAGTATTATGTAATTTTTAGTGTCAAATTGCTCAGAATAAAACAGGTCATAACGTAAATATTTTTTCAAGAAAAATCGAAAATTTATTAGGAAAAACCATTTAAACTCTTTAAGGATCAGTCAGGTTAAATGAAATTAAACTTCGTATGAATAATAAGTATCCTCCAGCCTACTTTCATAAGCGAATCGCATGATTCACTTTCATTTTCTTTCGATATTCCTCCGAGAAATTCAATTAGTAAATTTTCTTTCTTTTACAAATATAGTTGAATGATAGCTAACGGCCTTATTCAAATATCTGACCTCATTGATTATATGATGCCGCCTAATTTTCTTTTATCTACTTCTGCTTTTTTATCTGTTCAAAAAATGAAAACGTAATAAAATGAGAACAGCGTTTGTTTATTTGGATGGCTCGATCGAAATTTTTGCATATTTTTTTTAAATATTTCATTGAAACCCAGATATTAATTTAAATCTTATGAATATATTAAAAAATTTGCTAATTTTTCTGAAATCTTCTGTTAGGAATCTGGTTTTTTCGAGGAATTGTTTCAATAACTCGCTGAATATTAATTATGACTGATAACCGATATCAATGAGTTATAAATAATTTATTATAATATATTAAATGGATTTCTCGAAATTTCTACATACCTTAATTTTTACCTATTCCATTGAAACCCAGATATTAATTTAAAATCATATAATTAAAAAAATTGCTGATTTTCCTGAAATCTTCTAGTAGGAATTTGGTTTTATCGAGGAAATGTTTCAATAACTCGCTGAATATTAATTATTACTGATAAGTGATATCATTGAGTTATAAATAATTTATTATATTATACTTAATGGATTTCTGGAAATTTCTACATATCTTAATTTTTACCTATTTGATTGAAACCCAGATATTAATTCAAAATCATATAATTAAAAAAATTGCTGATTTTTCTGAAATCTTCTGATAGGAATTTGGTTTTTTCGAGAAGATGTGTCGATAACTTTGTGAATATTATATCGAATTATTATCGATTATTGATATCATTGAGTTATCAATATTTATGAAGTTACACTGCTATTAAAAATAGTTTAATTCACTGGTTTCATTTCTCAATAAAAAATATTGAAATAATTCCTTGATGAAAACAAGAAGAGAAAGTTTAAAACTATAAATTTAAGATCTTTTTTTTTATGAATTTATTTTAATGTATGATATGCGTTTTCCTTACTTTAGCTTATTTGGTAATTTTACTTCGTATGTTACACTGTTAGAAACTTCTCGAAATTTTTTTTTAAATAATAATTTAATTAACTGTTATTTTACCATATTCAAACCAAACAGTTAAATATCCACAAATAACATGATATTCAAACTGTTAACTGTGAGAAAAACCGTTTAATTGCTTTCACCTAATACGGTTAAACAATCAGAATTTTATCGCTCCTAATGAAGTCTCTTATTTCCTTACAGCTGGGTACATATTATAGTCGAGATGGTTAATCTGTATATCTCATGACCGACAGGATGGGGGTTCGAGTCTCAGTGTTGACACCATAATATTTCTTCCTATCTCTTCTGCATATCATGAATATTTTTTAGTGTCTTGCACTCCCTAATTTGTGATCCTTAACTATTAGAATAGAATACTCTCATACGCGTATAGATGGTTCAATAGAAGAAAACAACTAGATAAACTATTTAAACAACATTCCATGGCTCATTTGATAAAATATAACTCAATTACTACCTTACTCCAATACCCGTTAAATTACGAAAAGCTTATCTCAAAATGGTCAAAAAAACCGTGTAGTTTTATATTCATGGTCTTTTAACCATATTAGTTGTAAAGGGTTTCAAAACCGTAAAGAAAAAAAAATGTCTTTGCCGTAAACTGTACGGTTAATTGGATGGACAGACTGCTGCCGATTATTTTGCATTAATTTTAGAATGAAAATTCTAACAGTGTATTTTTTTCGCTTTTGGTCAGCAGTCAGATTTAATAATAGGATATTTTCATTAGGATAATAATAGGATAAATGGGATATCATGTGTAAAATTTGTTTATATAGAAACTATGGGTTACATAGAACTCTCAAAACTATTAATTTTTTTTACAGTTGTAGAATAAATGCTGCGATATAAGTTTTAAATTAACTTAAAATTTAGGAACTCATGTTTTTGTTAGCGGAAACCAAATAAAGCTTTAAAACAATTCCTATTTGTGAAAACCATTATTTGCATAACTAAAGCATAACATACATTTTTTTATATAAATTATTACTTTGTAGTTAAAACAAGTCATATAAAATGGCACGTAATACTTCGAATACCTTCCTTATTAATATATTTAACATATATAACATATAACATAATATAACATATATATAACATAACATATATATATATATATCTATAACATATAACATAACATAACATAACATAACATATATATATATATCTATAACATATAACATAACATAACATAACATATATATAACATAACATATATAATATATTTAACATATTTACATAGCGTTTAAATTAAAATAAAACTAATATTTTTATTATTCCCTTTTTGGGAAGAATTTAATAGATGAAAGGTCTGAGGTCAAAGCTGTTCTTCTCACTTAATCTAATAAAATATTGTATTTTATTAATAAAGCTAATAAGTCAAAATATAAAAGCTTTGAAATTTTTATGGAAAATGCTCTGCTCCGGGAATTCCAAAATCCTATCTATGCAATCAAAAATACATACCCTTTGTACTGTTAAAAGATTAAATTTAAGAATAAATTAAATTCCTTAAATGTGTTTAAAAGATGCAGTTAGCATGTTTTGCATTTTGAAAATACGAATATAAACTATTTGCTATACTATCAAGTTAAACTGCACAATTTTTGTTGCTCAAAAGAGTAAAAAAAAAATGGTGCATTATTATTAAAATGCCTGATTCGGAAAGTGAAGCCCGAAAATCTTCCGTTTAAATTTTGAAATGGAAAATTATAAGGTATAATAATGTTAATCAAGACATAATAATGTTAATCAAGATATAATAATACTTAGGAACTTGTAGCTCTCACTTTTTTTATTGCATCGTAAGTAAAATGAATCTATATTAATAAATTTAATATGTACTTTTGATTGGAGAGATTAATTTAATAAAGTAAATAAATTTAAATTAGTCTTTCTGTAAATAAAATTATCTTCGATATCAAAAGTAAGAAGGAATATTTTAGTGCGAAAATATTATATTACAGTGTAATGATATATATAACATTGAGGGTAGACTTAGTGTTTCTCCGTTTTGACTGTTAGGAACAAGACATAATGACAGATATTATCAAGATGCATGCTTGCTTGCTCGTTCCAGAGTAAAATACACGCTTTTAAGAAGGGGATACATATCAAGATTTTTATTTGCGTAGTTGAATGTTATCAAAAAGGGAAAATTTAAATATCTTGAAATGTCCGCTATATGACTCCGTGTCGTTTCTAGGAAACTTTCCAAGAATAATTGCCCATTT